GCAAGAGCGAAATCTGATTATTGCAAGTCTTAATTTAGGCTTCAGATGTTATAGAAATTATAAATTAGATCTTTATTTAAACAACAAGCCCAAAATCAACTCTGTAGACCCACGGAGGGCTCGGCTACAGCTCGGATTTAAATAGGATATCACTTATCAATTAATTCAAATATGGCGCATCCTGATGAGAATACGTCAGTTAGATCGAGGCTAAATGATAGAGTGTACTTAGCGAGGCCGCTGTAGAGCGTTTCCGCATGCCATTGAAAACTTTACTTGATAATCGAGATATGTAGGTGGAGTTAACGCCTGTCAATCAAACGATCAGCCATGGTGAAGGCACATTTCACTACCATTTCTAGTCAAATATTACAACGATGATAACTATGTTCAGAATAAAGTAATTTGACTGAAATTTTCAAAATATTCTTTTTTCATCATCTACTTTTGAACTGTTATAGCAAGAATGGCCAATTCTCTGTAAAAATCTCCCATAATGTGTCTTTAAGTGATAACTTTTGTCGTTCAAGCGTTCACAAGATTCAACAAAGCTAAACAAGGGCCATAACTCTAGATGTAATCAATGGAAATTTGCTGAAACTCAATAGACTTGTTCGTTTTTCTAATTTAAACGATACATATAAATTTCATACAGATCAGATAATAACTTTTGTCGTTATTCACAAGGTATAACAAAGTGAAACAAGAGCCAGAACTCACAGAGTAATTAACGGAAACTGCTGAAATTAAATAGGCTTCTTCGGTGCACTAATTTAAATGATGCATATCAATTTCAATCAGATCGGATGATAACTGTTGTCATTAGAGTGTTCACAAGATTCAACAAAGTGAAACAAGGGCCATAACTCTAGATGTAATAAATGGAAATTGCTGAAATTTAATAGGCTTCTTTGTTTAACTAATTTAAATGATGCATATAAATTTCATACAGATCGGATAATAACTTTTGTCGCTAGAGCATTCACAAGGTACAACAAACTGAAACAAAGGTCATAACTCCCGGCATAATTAACAGAAATTGCTGAAATTCAATAGGCTTCTTCTTTTCACTAATTTAAATGATGCATATCAATTTCAAGCAGATCAGATGATAACTGTTGTCATTAGAGCGTTCACAAGATTAAACAAAGTGAAACAAGGGCCATAACTCTAGATGTAATTAACAGAAATTGCTGAAATTCAATAGCCTTCTTTGTTTTACTAATTTAAATGATGCATATCAATTTCATACAGATCGGTTGATAACTTTTGTCGTTAGAGTGTTCACAAGGTGCAACAAAGTGAAACAAGGGTCATAACTCCAGAAGAAATTAACGGAATAGACTTCTTCATCTCACTAATGCAAACAACATATATCAAATTCAAAACAATCTAATGATAAATGTAGTCTGTAGAGTGTTCACAAGAAATTGTGGACGATGGACGGACGGATGGACTGACAGACGGACGGACGGAAGGGGGCGACGGCAATATACGACCACATTTCCATGTGGGCGTATAAAAAGTGTAAACATTTGAAATATCTATTTATAGTGTCAGTGATACATGGAACGGCTAAACAATGAATACATGATTTATTTTCCACAAACATTTTGTTATCCAAACAATTGTACTTTTATCTCATTTTTCTGTAATATTGGCCCATTATTTTATCGAAATGGTTTCATTTTTGATAGCATGGGGTAAGTTTTAAGTGATAACAGTGATAATTGGAATAGCGAGACACTGACAATCACATCTGTCGAACATTTTTTTTTCATGTTTTCCATTAACTCAATTTTTCACATCAGTCATACATTTTTTTTCATGTTTTCCATAAACTCAATTTTTTAATCAATTGAAGTATTATTTTAGTTTTTCACAATAATGAAATAGAATCATCCTGCCTCATACTTAATAGGGTGGTTGGGTGGCCGTATAGTTAACGCACGAGCGTTTGATCATAAGGTCTGTCACTGAGTCGAGTGCTGTATATGTGACAAGGAGTATCGTTGTCTGTCCAACCTTGGGGGTTTTCTATGGGTCCTTCGGTTTCCTCCCTAATTTTTCTGTCTCTCTCCATACTTAACAACATGGAATTACGACTACAGACAGTTTAAAAATACTTCAAAAACAGAAAGCCCAACAGACAGAAATGAAATGAAATGAAATGGGGTTTAACGTCCTACTGTTCTGCTCCTAACCTGGGCTAATGAAGACGGGCAATATACCCCAACATAAAATGAGGGGTGTATAAAAAATTTTTTATATCTTTTAATGATATGCAATATAACATGTTATTTCTACTACAGATAGTTTAAAGATACCCACAAATGTATATATAAAACTGTTATTAAATAGTAACAATTATTAGTCATGCCACAAAGATTTGTATCATGCAACTGGCACAATAATTTAAACCTCGTAACTATACATAATTGTTCCCTAATTTTTAACTTCTAATCTGACAGATATATAAAAAGATTTAGTTACCTGTTAATATTATGTTTCATACAATTAGTGTTTTTAATAAATTCATAATTAATAAAAACAGTTCAGCAAATTTCCCTTTAAAGCAGATTTATATATATACATGTATCCCAGATACACAAAAGAACATGGAAAAAATATGAAACAGACATCAGATTTAGTGCTTATAAAAAGCTAAGCAGTACATTAATAAATATTACAAAAAAAAACATAAACAATTTTACACTTGATTGATCAATAATTGCACATTTTAGCACAGCTCATACATTTTATGTTATGAATCAGTGACACATAGAATTTAATTCTCAGGAATAAAACACTATATAAGGTGCAAAAGTTGTGGTCTTAATTACCTATTATATAGAAGACCCAAATATCACACTAAAATTAGAAACAGTACATCTACCATGTAGCCTATGAAAATATACAAATGGTTATTAAATATATATATAAATGAATGCTTTAAGCTTATTTTTAAAAGTATTTTCCCATTACCAATTATGAAAATCAGCGATTATTTTTTTTTTTTAAATGCAAGGCCATTAAATCGTTTGTGTAAATTAAATATTTATATATATATATATACACATATGTAAATCATTAATATAGATAAAAGGCTACCAATACAATATATAATTTAATTAATAATCTGAAGCTAGGCTTACATAATATATAGGTTTATAACAAAACAAACAAAAGTTTTCAATGCACATTTATCCCAATTTTTACTTATTTAGCAACATTTTTAAAATGCTGCACACAACTCTAATAAAGATTCATTTAAATACACTGAATACTACAACACAACTAATGTTATCAACTAAATTTCATCCTTTCTAAAGCTGTACATTATTATTGACATTAAAATACATCATTCTACTTTCTGCAAAGCAAAAGTTACTGGACACTTACATTTATTATGCCCTTTCTAGAACAGCTGTATCCATTCAGGAATGTCTTAGACCAACAACTTTCTCAAGATTCTAAAAATCTTCTTAAACAACAGACTCTTGATAAATCAACTTTCTATGATACTAGAGACATACATATAGGTTATTTACTTGTTAAAAATCATTTCATCCCCCCAAATCTATCTAATAACAATGCTTTAAGAGAGAAGAAATTACCCTTCAAAAGCGGATTATACCCTACATGCTCTGGCTAAGAACCCTGCAATATTTCTATATCTTTAAGCTACACTGGACCTACACAAAGCTCCTATTCCAATGATTACTTTATATTTAATTTTGTTAAATTCTAATCGGTCCTACTAAACAATCAGATAAAATCCCATTCTGACTTAGACCTTTAAGACTGTAAGCTAGGACCACATGAAAACAACAAATAGTCTTAGAAATATGGAATGGGTGAAAATAAGGATCTGAGCCCCAGGGTCCTGTTCCTCCATAATCCGCCCTGACCTATGTCAACACATATGTCAGTATTACTACAGTTACATGAACATTCACATCATTTTTACTCACATGTACCATTAAAAACCTTATAAATAACTCTATTACTTTCTGAGATTGTGTTATCAGAATTATTTAAGTATTTAGATGTGGAATCCAGTGGTGGATATAATTTGACTATGACTAGCAGATCAAGATGATGTGTATTTTATTGTATATTTTAAAAAAACATTTAAACCCAAATAACCTTCAGAAGATTATTCTCAAATACTCTATTGTGGGGCCTAATTGATCTCATCAATGTTTCTCTTCAATTTTTTGCACTGGACTTCTGCAACTATAATAGTGGGCTTAACAATATCAATATCTTGTCTGTGGTATCACCCGAGGTGAACGCAGACGTAAAACTCTACGAACGAACATAGAAATACCAATGTTTTCTTCTACCGAGAACAATTTAATCTGTGATTTTAATAAAATATTAGGTCACCAATAGATGGTGTACTTAATATCCAAAAACAGTGCCAATGTTTTCTTCTACTGGGAACAATTTAAATCTGTGCTTTTAATTAAATATTGGATAATACTTTTGTGCTCCCTACCCATAATACTATTTAAATTTAAAACAGTCATGGTAACTTAACAATAAAAGTGCCAATGTTTTCTTCCACTGAGAACATTTTCCATATCTGTGATTTTAATAAAATATTAGTCTATAGCTAGTCCTAAATAGATAACACAATTGGTACTCCCTATCCAAAACACTATTTATATTTTAAAAACACAAAATCACCAGTACATTTACAATGTCCTATATTGGACTTGAAGGCTGTTTCGTATGTCTGGTGATTTTTCACACATTTGAATTATATAGTTAGCTGCAATAAATTCGTGAAAATTTACAGTTCAATATAGCACCAATAAAAATTCATTCTTTTAATTCAAGGAGACGTGAATAGGTGATTCATGTGTAAATTAAATTGGGAAATGATTTTTTTTTGGGGGGGGGGGGGAATTGCTTAATATAAAGGGTAATAAAAAATGTGTTAGACACTGTGTGAAAAATGGCCTTGAAAACTTGTGATACAGGGGAAAAAAAAAAAAAAAAAATACCTGTACGTACACACACGATAGCTTTATACATTTTGAATACTGAATCTATCATTTCTGTTTTAAAAGTTATCTCCCTTCAATATTATATAATCCTCTAAATGGTGATACACAACAAGAATGAATATAACAAACATATAAGTTAACAAAAACATTATATATTATAATGTATTATTATACCTATGTAATAACTAATTGTTTTTACCTTTTTATAATAAAACATATGTATAATTAATTACTTACACTATACAATAATAATAACCAACAAACCAAAACAAAGAAATGAGTCATTTCATTCATTAATTAACAACATTATCTAATTCCCAAGTGGAGAGAAAGGCATTGTATCAAGTAATCTAGAAGGAGCAGTTGGTAAGGTCATATGATTAGAGGCCATAGGATTGACCATCATGTGAGGCAACCGATGTGACAACCTCATAGCCGAATTGTTAATTTCTGCACTGTAGTGCTGATGAGCAGGAGTTAATGTTGAAGGAGAAAGATGGCGATTAATGTGGTTAATATGGGCAGGATAAGGATTACTTGATACATTTAGATTTAGAGAAGGATAAGGACTAGGGGAAGTAGGATGATCAATGTGATGTGATGGTAAAGGAGAATACAAATCTCGCGACTGCTGATGCACTAAAGAGCTTTCCCCTAATGAACCCATGGATGTGGGGATAGTGGAGCTGGGGCGACGAGAAATGGACTGATTCGAAAACATTTGTAGACTGGCCGATGCCAGTGGCTCGTGAAGCAGTAGTTCTCTTTGTGCTCTTCTCTCTATCAGATTTAAATCTTCTGCTGTATGATCTGTTGAATTTGAAAAAAGGCTGTTGTGGACCTGGCCATTTTGTTGTCTTTCTGTTAAAGACATATTTTCTCTTACTTGTTGAGCATTATGTGACAATTGTCTCTCTCGCATGACCTGTCTTAGATCTAGATTATGGTCAATACGAGTGATCACACAGTCATTTTGATTACCATTCTCTCGATTACGTAAGGGCACCATAGTCGGCGCGTTGTACATTGAAGGATTCTTTTGTTTCCTTTTTCGTTGACGATTGGCTAGATCTTGAACCTGCTGTTGGTCCAAAGGCTTTATGTGAATATGCATCTGAAAAAAAAGACAAAGAAATGGGGTTTAATTTTCACTCAATACAAATTTCTATTCCAATAATTTGCTCGCAGACGACCTTATTCCTTGTCACGTACAAGTGTTAGATCAAAACCATGTCAATTGATTCAATAAGAGAACTTATGATTTTAATTGCACGCTTTAGACCATTTGGCTACCCACCCATCTCTAGTTCTATTCGAGTCATCTTATTTCCTTCAACAAAACATTTTATCAATTTCTGAATATCAGTAATTTGTCAGATATTCTGTAATTAATTTTGGGAACTTCCATTCTCCAATGATTTGAGTACAAAATAATGTTGCATTACATCAAATGTAGTTTATATTTCTATGGCAAATTCATAAGTTGTAAACAATGTGGGAATAGCCCCACTTTCATAATAACTATGTTTACTTAGTTTACTAATTGCTGTACAGGTGTAATAAAAACAAACACTATCACTGGTAATACAACAGATGAATAAATATATATTTCTACTCTGTTTTCTCCCAATTACATACAATAAAAGGTGAAAATAGCTTTACATTAAATTTTAAGTCCTGCTTTTGGTATTACTAAACCAAGGGCAATAATACTAAACACTAATTGACAAATCTTGTTCAGATTCAAGTTCTGGTAGGACATAGTACTATTTTAAAGTCTCGTTATTTCTTAATCCAGGGCAATAATGCCAAGAATAATTAACAAATCTTGTTCAGATCCAAACTTATCTTAATTTTTATGTATCTAAATACTCTTGTAAATACTTATGATATGCCATAACACCTCCTGTCAATCAATCTGTAACTATTGTATGTATTGCTTTTTTTTTTCAAATCACAACCTAGCTCTCATGAATTGTTTCCAAATGACGTTAGTTCAAATGAAATAGAACATTCTATTTAAAATCCCTGTCAATCGACTGTATTATATGTATATGTATTTTCTTTTTTTAAATCACAGCCTAGCTTTCGTAAATCATTTCCAAATGAAGTTAGTTCAAATGAAACAGAAAATTCTATTTAAACTGAGAAAGCCAGGTATTTCACGCAATAGATCCAATAACTTCATTTGATAATTTATACAGACACTAGCAAATTCAGAAGGAAGTATCTACCAGTAAACTTTTTGTTCAATGTAATAGACATGTGCACTTTACAAGCTGATTTATAGCCACATATTAAGTTTTAAAAAAATCAGATTAAAACTAGAAGTTGTTTTTGACAATTCTTAAGGGCAATAACTCCATGAACAATGAAGGTTTGCAAACACTGATATTTTAATCAAACAAAAGTTAGAAATTTGTTCTTTTTTATTTCTACATGTATTTAGGCTATATTTTAAAAGCTATCAGCTTGGAAAAAAACTTTAAAGAAAGACAAGTCACCAGGCAACAAAACATACAGCAGCTATGTCATCCGATCAGATCACAAAGATTGTCAAACAAGAACACTTTGGTATTGATCAAAGTCTTCATTTTGAGCTATTACTTAAATTTAAATCCATTTATTCAGATCATCATTGAATTCCTCTCCAATGTCAGAAATTGCTTCCATTAAAAACATTCATCAAAAAGCTGTTTATTTCAATGAATGTATCCATAATGTGTAATAAAAGACAATGGATTGTGTGATTTAATGAAGAGATATTGGAGGCAAAACGGGCAGAAAGAAAATGGTGACGTGTGTTATTGCTGCTTTTAGATCTTTCAGCAGCTTTTGATACTGTAGACCACAAGGTGGTTTTTTTAGGACTTGTTGGTCAATTTGCTGTTGCCCGTTTAGTAAAATCAGTAAAAATGAGACAATTGAAACTGTTGATTGGGCACTTATCATATCAATATAATTCTTTACTCATTGGTTTATCATCTCACTTAAACATACATTATGCAAGAGCTAAATCTGTCTATTGCAGGTCTTTCTTTAGGCCTGAAATGTTATCTAAATTATTAATTAAGCTATCCAGACCATAATCAACTCTAGATGGTATCGCTAGCCTGCGATCTTTAGTGGATTATGAGCCGATTTACTGCATAACTTTCCTTCACGATTTAACGATTAAATGGATAATCGAGACTATGCTGTTTATCGTACTGACTTTAGTAATGATGATCGAGGCTAGGCGGAATTTTCAATTGCTTAGTTCTCAGTTCATAGTGGATCAATTTGAATGAAATTTTCAGCAAATTTCCTTTACATTATCTAGTTTTTAACTATTATAGTAAGAACTGTCAACTTGTTATCGAATCTCCCATAATGTATCTTTAACTGATAAATTACAAAAGGGTTGAGAAATGTAAATATCAAGATCATATCACACCTGTTTTCATCCAACTCCACTGATTACCCATTGTTCTTACAATTCAATATAAGTCTTTCTTTTAACTTTTAAATGTTTAGATCATATGAAACCATTGTATCTATCATCTCTTTTAGAAATTAAAACCCCCTACTGACCTAATTATATATTGAGGTCCTCAAGCGGTCAATATACTTGTCTGCTAAAGAGCTACACCGAAAATTTAAAGTTCACAATCATTTACAGTGCAGGCCCCCAAATTGTAGAATAAACTTCCATTTGCTCTCAGAAGTTCTGTTTCTTTATCAAGTTTTAAATTACAATTTTTTATTTAGACAAACTTTTGATTTATAGACTTATTTTTACTATAAGTATTATGTTTTTTTGCTCCGGAAGTTCTGTTTCTTTATCAAGTTTTATTTTGACGAACTTTTGATTTATAGAATTATTTTTACCAAATGTATTTTTATTTATACAACTTAATGCAGTTTTTCATTTTGACAAGTTTTTGATTTAAATATTTATTTTCACTACTTCTAGATATACAATTTCAAATATATAAATACATTTATCATTCTTCCAGATTTTTAAAAGTATGGTTTGATATCTGTAATGTATATTATAAAGTGCATCTGAACATGATTTTATAATAGTAATTATCAGAGCTTATGATCTAAAGCATTAGACCATTCAACCACCGAACTCCCCAATCTTTAATGTAAAACCCTGCATCCAAATTGTGTTCAAATTCCTTCAAGATCTTAAGTTGTTATAAAATTGCACACATCTACTGTCAGATCAACACGATGGGAGTTTGTTAGATACCCTGTAATTTCACCCAGCAGCAAGGTCTCAAATCAATGTAAAAAAATCCCCCTGATTTAGTTTTAAAAAATCCAATAAGCTTTTATCAAATTTCACATATTCACAAAGTCGAAATGTGAACAGAAGGATAAATAAGCAAAATGTGCTCGAAACTTAATATATATAAATGGAGATAACTCAATGATTTACGATCGTAATATTCAAAATTTTCGATACTGTACCACACCATATGCCCCATTAAATAATTACACCATGATTTAAAAGGATCCTTTGCTGAGAAAGTTCAAGATTTTCCGACATAATTCACCTTGTAAGCAGTGTATGATGAAGGGCCTGGCCAGGACATTGTCTTCTTGATAGGATTGGATGAAAAATTGAGGTCCCGTCAACACACTGGCATCCATGTAAAAGAACCCTTGACAGTTGGAATTTGAAAAAAGAGTAGGCCGTAGCTCTGTTTTCCGGGCAAAATTTCCCTCATAGCACACTGTATGGTGTATGCCTGTGTTTATAAGCCCAGTCTGTGCAGAAAAGTATTACGTTAAACCCCATTTCATGTCATGTCAAGATTATCACAACAAGTTTCAAAACATTCCATCAAGCACACTGTCCATGGAATCTGCCAATGTCACAGGTTATTAACAAGAAAAAAACTTTTTCATTTTTGTGGTTACACTCTACTCGTTAATAACCACGATACATAGATATTTAATGATGAAATGAAATGAGGTTTAACATCCTACTATTCTGCTCCGAACTGGGCTAATGAAGACGGGCATTTGCCATACAGTGTGCTACGAGGGAAATTTTGCCCTGACAGTGGCACTATGGCCTACTCTTATATCGAATTCCAACTGTCAAGGGATCTTTTACGTGCGAGCCAATGTGTACACGGGACCTCAGTTTTTTGTCCCATCTGAACGACTAGACAGCTGTCCTTGTCAGGCCCTCCATCCTGCATCACTGACAAGGGGGAACCACGCCAGATAATCTGGATGAACTTTCTCTGCCAATGCAGGGATCGAACACAGCGTCTTACCCACTTAGCCACCGTGACCCCCATTTTTAATGATAAAGATAGATTTCTATACAGCTAACGTACAAAACACAACTTCAAAGGTTTTACCGGATAATACAAATTTCAAAAGGATTTGTCGATAATTTTAACCTCTTTATTGAACAAGAAGTTTTTGGTAGGGATGTAAAAATAGAGGCAGGAGCAAATCATTAAATATCTATATGCTCAACAAGCAAATCAAATTTCAAACAAAGATCATAAATGTGTTAAAATTAGCATATATACATCTATGTGACGTCAACCTATATATAACCTAAGGGTATAAAATAATCATTAGGGTTTCACACTGCGTAGCTTGTGTGAAACACTATCGTTTTTGTTCGGATTATTCTTATTATTATTAAGCTTTGACATTTCATATGAAAGCTTATTGTTTTTGTTAGGATTACTATATTTTTTTTTTTTTGTTTGGCAAATCTTTTTCACAGAATCTAACCATAGAATCCTTCTGAAACTTTTATCTACCCCCCAAAGAATGGGTGGCGGCTTTTGTTTAAATATATTTTCTAAACGTTTTACGAATCCAAAATCAACAAATTTTAAGAACGAAAGCAGTTAACCTACATAGCTGTAACTTTATGACTATTTGACAACTATTTTACTAATTCTTTTTTTTTTGAGTACCTTGAAACATTTACTTCAAATCTGCTTACCGATTTCAATGATATATTAGAAATTTCCTAACTTATCTCGGTATGATCCCCTTGGAGAAATTAAGGGACATAGTTTTGAAGAAATCCCCAAAAAAGTAGGTCAGAATGCCTTGAAATTTTTTATCTGCACTAGCTAAGAAATT